ACCTGTGGACTAACTCTTCAGGAATGTGTAGAGCAATTCTAAAATCAATGAAAATGCTGAGCTAATGTCACTCCTAAAATATCCAGCTGATGGCAAATTCAGTTTCACTTTCATGGGCCACACTTAATTTTAGACTCAGCCTTGTTGCAGCTCAACACGGTAAACACATGTGTGCAGGCATGTTAATGTATGTGGTGGTTTGCTAGAGAATGGTCCCCACAGGGCTTCTGTGTTTGGGCACGTGGTCCCCAGTTGGTAGAAGTGATTAGGAGAGACCATGGTTCACTGGAGGACATGTTGTCACTACGGCTGGGCTTTGAGGTTCCAGTCCTAGTGTGCAGCCAGCTCTCAGCTGCTGCTCCAGCCAACACACTTGCTGCTTGCTGCTTGCTTCCATGCTGCCCTGCCATGAGGGACTCTTATCCCTTTGTTACCACAAACCCTGAATAAATTCTCCGTTCTGTATCATGGTGTTTTATCTCAACAATAGAGACATAACTAATATAAAATACTTGCACAGAAAGCTCCAAAATAGTTAGTTTTATAACAAAGAAATTTTTGAAAATGAAAGAAAACAGATTAATTTTTAAAATAAAATAGCAAGCTGATGGTTCCCAGTTGAATAGTCTGGGCATAGACGCTGTTCCCTCAGGACTCAGAGCATGGGCTGATTGACATCAAGCGACAGACAGAGTCTTCGGAAAGGAGGGGGCAGAGGGATCAAATAGAAGCTCCATCCTGGAACACCAAGTCAAGACCAATTCCTAGTCGGGTTTTGGCTCCCTTCCAGAAGTGTGGCTGAGAAGCTCAGAGCTTTGAGGGGTGCATAAGGAGTTATGGAAGCAAAGAGGAGACCCTGCTTAGCTCAAAGGAGGGAGCCCAGACTAGAACGTGGGAACGTTCGTTGTACAGGGAATTGATATTTTCACTGAGTCTTGAAGGATATGTGGGAATTTTTGGCATTACAAAAACAAACATCATGAGACTAGAAGAATAAAGGAATGGATTGTCAAAACTAAAATGAATGTGGAGGATGAGGAAAGGCAAAGAACAGGTCGGATCCAAAGTCGCAGCATCTGCTGTGAAATGCGGTTTCTCCCCTGCACAGGCTTTGAGACGTTGTTCTGGGATTGGGGGCTGAGAAAACAAGCGGCTTCGCCTTTCCGCCTTTCCGGGTCACCCAAGGCCACCACCTTCACATTCCTCCACGCAATACGAGGAATTCCAGCTTATAGGAGCACGAGATGGGGGTAGAGGCTCACTGATCCTCACCAGTGGAGGGCAAGTCTGAACTCAGCAAGTGTCCAAACATCTAAAAGATCTCTGGTACTTCAGAATCTAAGCAATTACCTATTACACTTCCCCAAGACTTTGTTTTAATAAATGATTACTTCTCTGAGCTTACTTGTACCATGATGGTGCCTAGAACGTAATCATGATTTATCCGTCCAGTCAACAGTCTCAGCCCACAAAAGCTGATACAATCAATCAGTTGGTACCTTCATCATGCCTAAAGTACAGTGATCCAGAAACACAGTGAGACTTTACCAAGGTTGTAAAAAAAAAAAAAAGAGAGAGAGAGAGTAACAGATTAGAAGCAGTCGAGTGAAGCCCACAGCCTTTGGCTTTTCTGGTGTTTCCATAGACGACTAAAACAAGTTAGTATCTTCAAGGCATGACAACCCTTCAGTAAGGTCTCCGGAAAGTTTGGAACGTGACATAAACTTTCTTGGTGGTTAAATCCAGGACTGAGTTCCATAGCGATTTTGGATGGTTTCAGGTCGATCAGAGTCAGGCAGCCACAACAGCCCTGGATACATCTATCTATTATCAGCATTTTTAACAACATAATGGTCTTCCTTCGGCCACCAAAACTCTTTCTCTGACGGTGTTGTCAGCAGAAAGAATGTGATGGGATACTTGTGCAAACGAAAGAAGGGAGTGGGTCAGCAAGGATAAATACAAGGGAGCTGAATTCCCTGAAGGATGCTATCAACACTGGGATTGTTCAAGTATGCGTGCCTAGTAAGCAGCTTCTTCTCAATTTCATAGCTTTTTTTTATATTTTTAACTTATATATACAAAATATATAAAGCCATCAGCTAAATTTAAGACAACTGAAAACTTTTTGTAAGGCAACATGATAATAAATGTTTCATAAGATATTAATGGAACATCAGTTTTAAAAATAGTATCTTGTCTTTAGACTTGAACACTAAAACACAATTCAGTAAACAGCAAAATTTACATAAAGGGCTCCTTCAAGTTTCTAAAAGGAGCAAATACATGCAGGAGGTTGAAGCAGCTTGTCAAAGCACACCCGCAGTCAAGGGCAAAAGAAGAACAGTGTATGCATGCCTGCTCACATGCTTGCCTGGTAACACATGTGCCTGCTCACATGCATGCCCACTCACGTGTGCCCGCTCACACACATTCCTGCTCACACGCATGCCTGCTAACACATGTGCCTGCT